CCAGGCTAGAAACCCAGAGATTTAGTCCCAGCTTAGGCACAAAGCCAGCTCGGTGACTTGGGCCGGTCCCTCTCTCAGCCCTTGGAAGGAGGAGGCAAGGGCAAACCGCTTCTGAAAAGGTTGTCAAGGAAACTGCATGGACTTGTCCAGGCAGTCATCAGAGGTCGAGGCTGACTCTGAAGTGCTTACCCCCCTACCTATAAACCTACTTATCTGTCTACCTCTCTCTCCATCCACCTTCCTACCCACCTATCCATCTACCTACTACCTGCCTATCCTCCCACATGTCTACCTATTATTCTACCTACCCATCCATCTTCCTACCTACTTACCCACCCCACTTATCTACCTACCTGTCCACCTATCCATTGTAATTTATATGCTTTTTGTGGAACAGCTCCATCCATCCACCCACCCAAGTACCTACCTATCCACCCACCTATCTACCTATTATTGAATCTACCTATCTTCCTACCTATCTTCTTACCTACTTACCCACCCACCTGTCCACCTATCCATCCATCCATCCACCCACCCACCCACCTATCCACCCACCTATTATTGCATCTACCTATCCACCTCTATCTATCTTCTTAGCTACTTACCCACCCACCTGCCCACCTATCAATCTGATTACAGTGATTTTTCCTTATCCAGAACCTCCCCGGAGGTGCAGAGTCATCCCAGCGCGGGCACAGGAGAAAGGCGGCAGGCCTGAGGACACAGCCTGCAGAAGAACATCCACCGGCGGCCGGGGCTGCCTCCGCCCCACCACCCTGTCCCCGTGAGGGACTTCGCCCCCGCGGCGCCCGAACCCGGAGGAGACCCCTTCGGCCACTCACCTCCGCCTGCAATCCGCCGCTTTCCAAAATGGCCCCCTCGCGCCTGCGCACTCCGGTTTAGGGAACCGGCCCGGCGTGAGGAGGAGAGACACAGATTGCGAGTCCTAGATGGGTCGCCCCGCCTTTTCGAGCCGGAATTCCGGAATGCCTTGAGCGCCATGTTTGTTGTGGGCAGTCCAGAAGTCTCGGGGAATTCGAACCGATTGGGTATAAATAAAATATGCCTCCTACTTCAGCAGGCAGCAGCTCTTAGCTGACTATGGCTGGGCGGCATAGAAGTTTATTTAATAATAACACAATTAAGGATAATAAATCTTGAAAGAATAAGTAGAGTGGGACCTGGATGGGGGACCATCAGGAAATCTATTTTGGGAGGAAGAGATGGCACACCATGTTTTGTATGGCCAAGAAAACTACATGGGCGCGAAATCTCCAACAAAGGAGCTCAGGTAAAGATTGTATTTTGTTAATAATAATAATA